GCGCACGCTCCACGAGTAGACAACCTTGCCTTTTTTCCATGGATTGACTGGTCATGTCAAACTCCTGAGCCTGTACCGCTCCACCAGCGCTCCCTAATAACTGGTTGCAATGTGGGAAGAGAAGATCAGTTTTAACCTCTAACCTTCCACCATATAGCCTGTGAGTTCCAAATGGGTTGTAGGTAAAAGTCTAGTTAGAAAATATATAAACTTAGAAGAATTAGAATATAATTGGTTTAATTTTATAAAAACATACCTTGGACATGAGAGATCAAAACTGAGATAAGTAAAAAAGGGATAAGAATCTAAAACAAATATGTAAAAAAAAATCTAAACAAAAGGGAAAATAACATACATATGAAAGGAATATACTAGTACAGGGTTGTTTTAAACATGAAGATCTACATGAAAAAAATATAGATGCAAATCCAGAAATATTCAAAGGACATGAATAAAGGTATAGATGAGGACATGGAATTTACAGCAGGAAAACTGAATAATCATCCTACTAGTCAAGATAATGCAAACTAAAATCACAATAATGCATCTTCATCTTTAAACTGTTAATACTGAAAAAAACATACGATGCAATTTTGGTTAAGCATTGAATAAAACTTGATTATGTACTTGATCATTAGAGCACGTTAAAAACTATAGCTTGGCAGAAATTACCAAGATCTTAAATATTCATCCCTTATGACACAAGGATATATATATATATATATGATATTTGATACTTGACCATAATTAAGTCAAAATTTGGGGAAAATTACATATATAGAAAGTTTTTAATAGTAATATTTGTGTTAGTAGCAAAATTTGGAACATCCTAAATCTGAAGAGAATGGTTAGCTAAGTATGTGTACTTGTTGAGCTATTCTAAAATCATTCATACAATAGCAAGTTGGCAGCTCTGGTGACGCTTACTTCAAGCGCTGTATTGCTTGACCCACCACAAGGTGGCGCGGCTCTACCAGCGTCTCTGTCGGAGAAACGTGGCAGTCTGCTTCCGTGGAGACGCGGGTCTCAGAAACCCAAGGGCCAGTTCTACTGTGTCCTATAGGGCTGCCAGAAGTGGGAGTCGATTCACTGGCAGTGGTTTTGGTTTAGTGTTCTGGCATATGGCAACATGATTAAGTTACATATGCCATAATAACAATGAAAAATTAGGAAAGAAAACATTTTAGATTTTAACTGTACACCAATCTAATGGATTTTTGTATTTTACCCTTTATTGTCTGAATTTTGTAACATGTGCTTTGTATTATAGAAGATTTGGCATTGACTTCCCACTAAAGAATTAAAGGGCCTATTGTGGTCTCAGCATATAGGTTGATAAAGGCAGTTATTGGAGTCAGAAGACGAACAAGTGACGTTGCGCTCTGTTTTAGGTGTTACCCAGCCTCGACATTGACAGCATCTCTAATGGCAGTGCTAGCCCCAGCCCATCTCTTCCCAGTCCCAAAGAGGCGTCCTCTCCTCCTCTGCAAACCTGGATGCAGGTATTTTCCAGAATTTTATCAAATTGTTTTCTGGAATTTCTGGCTACAAATTTTAATTACTGTTATTCTGTATACACCTGAACAGAAAATGAAAATCCTTAATAACTAGACCAGTAAACAACAAATGTTTTTATAGATGGTAGGAGATTGAAGTTGTCAAGGGTTTCGTTCATCTTAGATCACCATTCAATGCCCATAGAAGTAGCATTCAAGGAACCAGCCGACATAGTGCACTGGGCATATCTGCTCTGAAAGACAGTGAAGTGTTAGGATACAAAGATGTCACTTTGAGGACCAAGGTGTGCCTGGCCCACACCATGGTATTTTCAAATGCATGTACAAGCTGGCCAATGAAAAAAGGGTCCATCCCTTTTGACCTATTTTAAAGTTGTTTCAGTTAAAAAAAAAGGTGGAGGGGAAATGCACGTGGATTAAGCCTCTGGTGACTCCCTTCTGACCATAGCCCAGAGTTACCAATAGCCTTGCTATCCTGTAGCATGCATTGGAAAGTAGATTATTTCAGATCCTGTTAAGTTAGCCATTTGATCTCCCTTTTGACCCATTTTAAATTTGTTCTAGTTTTTAATATTTTCTGCTTTCCTTTTGATTGAGGTTTTTTCTCTGTTTTATTTTATTATTCTTGTTAGGTTTTTGGTTGTTGTTTTCTTTTTAAATGCTTTTCTGTGACATCCAGGATGGCTGAGTCTATAGAGACAGTAACTGGATTCATGGTTTCTTGGGGGCGTGGCATGGAAGGTTAGAGGGAAATTGGGAGCTAATAACAAATGAGTACAAGGAGGAAGAAATATTCTAAAATTGGTTGTGGTGATGATTGTACAACTCTTCATAATATAATTGAACCATTGAATTGCGTAGTTTGTGGATTATGTGCCAGTACAACTGCTTTTTTTAAAAAGTCCGAAGAAGAATTGATAAATTTGAATTATGATGCTGGCAAAGCATATTTAGCATACCGTGAGCTTCCAGGAGAATAAGTCAATCTTCCTTGGAGTAGGAAGGGTAACCAGGATGCCCCTGAGAGGCGCGGCTGGGGAGTTTTGTCTCCCTTATCTGGAGCACATTGCAGGAGGGACCAGTGCTGGAGAAAGACATCGTGTTTAGTAGAGTTAGGTAGATGGTCATTGAAAAAGGAAACCCGCACCCCAGCATTAATAGCAAAGTCTGAAAACCAGCAAAACAAAACGGAAAATAATGAATCTTGGCGAGGGCGTGGAGAGATTGGAATCCTCATTCACTGCGTCTGACTAAACATTACACAGCTGTGGGAAGCAGTCTGGCACTTCCTAGCAACACCCGGGACTAGAAGAAACTGTGTGACCAGCAGTCCTCTTAAGAAACAGGAGCCATAGCATGAACAGCTGTGTGCACACCCGCAGTCATCGACGCGCTAGTCACGATAGCAAGATGGAACCCCTAAGTGCCCACTGAGGGCCACGTCAGTCAATAAACTGGCATGGAAGACAGTTACAGAGCATTACGAGCGGGTTCACGAGGGGCAATGAGAAAACATACACAAAAGGAGTAACCAAAAGCTAGGGCTCGAGGGTCTCTGCAGAATAGACAGACCCTCAGGGCCCAGAGGTGTACTGGGGGCAGACTTACCGACGTTTCATGCACGCATCCGGCAACAGGTAACAGGTTTATACAGAAGAACAATGTACAATTCTTTAAGAGTATAAAAAGGAGCATTACCACTTCCAGCTATTCATAGACAGGAGGGGAGGATGAGGCCGGGAGCCTACAGAAACTGCTAAGTTTTCAGGTGGCTGCTTTCTGCAGCTTTCGCCAGGGAACAGAGGCCAAGTGTCCATTTTATCTCGGAGAGACAGACCAACAGTCGTTTCCATCGGCTCCCCAGGGTGAGCCGTCTATAGTCGTCCACTGCCTTGAGCCATGAGGTGTGGGGGTCCTGTCCTGTTTGCCTAAGGAACAGACACCTTTTCCCCACACTGGTACATACATAGCACAATGTTAAAAAATAAAGCTGAATCTGTGCAGCATCTCACAACACGAAGGAGCCCGGAGGACATGATGCTGACTGGATTTGTCAATCACTAAAGGACAACTATTGTTTGAGACCACTATAAAAAATCAATATGCTCATCAATTGATTTAAACACATTGTTGATAGATTCCTGGTCAGAAAAACTGATACACAGCTCTTGAATGGTGATCTAATGGTTTGAGGGTAAATTTAGATTTCATTTACCAACAAATCACTTCAGAAACATATTTTTTTAAAAAACGATCGAGTAAGACAGTGTAATTACAAATTTATATTATGGTTGGAAATATGTATGAATTTTTCAAAAAGATTAGGCCCAACAAAATATTTTTGAAAATGCCATTTCAGACTGCAGAACTTATGAAGTTAGACGAAGAGGAAGTAAAGTTTCCAGGAAGTAACTTTGATGAAGTAATTGATGTCGTACAGGTAACAAAACTTGGAAATCACGAGGTGCTACTTTTCTTTGTGATGGGATAGCTTTTGACGGTCAATATTATGTGAAAGTATTCTGATAGACTTATTTTTACTTTTGAGGTAAATATGCTTTTATTTTTAAAAAGGTCTTAAGCTTGCTAATCTTTCTCTGTGTGTGTGTGTGAGCCAGTGTGTTATTCTACAGTATAGTATTATCTATAGCACCAATGACTTTTAGCGCTTACTGACTGTTGGCTCTCTCCACCCTACGTCTTGACTTCCTTCCTTCTTGTTTTCCTCTTTTCTGTTTTTTCTGGAACTTGCCTCATACTTGTCTTTTTCTCACTCTGTCACATTTAGCTTAAATCAGTCGAGAGATCGCCAGTTGATGTGCTATAATGACAAACAAATTATGAAAAGCCACAGAACCGTTTATTAAACAAAATAGCAAAATGTGAAGCTATTGTTTTTCAGCATATTCTCTGTCTAGGTGTATACTCTTCTGAAGTTGGTGTTTCTCTCTCTCACCATTCCCCTAAAGAGTTCCATACTCTGACTGACACCACCTCCAAACAGCAAGTTTAGCATCCTCAAATTCAGATCGTGTCCCTTTCGAATGTTCTTTTGAGTTTGGAGACCAAAAAAAAAGTCCGAAAAGGGCAAGAACAGAGTTTAGGGTGGATATGGGCTTAGGTTTCCGCCACGAAATCTTCTTGGGACAGCTTGCCACCTTCGAAAAATGAACAGGTGAACACCGTCATGATGGATAAAAGTTCTTCAACACAAATTTCTTAGCCCTTTCCTCACCAAAACGGTTTTTAATTTGCTCGAGACCTTCTCAGAGTAAGCCCATGCGATTGCCATGTGCCCGTTCAGAAAATCTATCAAGATTATTCCTTTGCAGTCCCCAAAACAGTTCCCTTAATCTCATCTGCCCTCTCTGCTTTGATGTAGCTGGCCCAACAGGTCCCCTTGGAAACCACTGTTTGGATTGACAGACTTTGCCCTCAGATCCATATTGGTATATTTATGGCTTGTTCCTGGCTGCTTATTTGTTCCATGACATTGTCTTCATTCGCTTTGATCTTGTTTAAAAGACTATTGAGCTAGCTGATCTTCTTGCAACGCTTTTGGCACCCATTGAGCAGAAGTTTGCTGAGGCCCAGATGCCTGCTTACAATGGAACAAGCTCTAATTGTGTAAGATCACAACTACACCAGCTGCCGCGTCAGTGGTACCTTTATAGTCCTTTTCCATCAGTGTCTGGACTTTAGGCACAGCGTCTTCATTTGTCAAGGTTCACCACCTTTCCTTTCTTGGCTTGTGGGTTTTTAAAAATTCATTTATTTATTTTTAACAGTTTCACGGACGTACATCTCACATGTTATACATTTCACTAGTTTTCTCACGTCATACAAGCCGGGGAACATCACCACATCAATTCCAGGCTTGTTCTTCTTCCCTGTCCTTAATGTTGCTAGCTGTCCGTTTGCCGCCAACCTCCTCTGCTACGTCCCTTTGAAACTATTGGTTCAGTTGTTGCCTCTAGGTTTCCCTATCCTGGGTCTTAGCTTATCTTTGAGGTCTTCTCAATCTTCCTTAAAACACTTGACCCATCTAAAAACTGCTGTCTTATATGGGGCAACATTCCTGTAAACCTATTGTAAAGCTTCGGTGATTTGAGGAGATGTCCGTTGAGTTTTGTTAAAATGTTGGCACTAACCCTGACTACTCAGAGTACCCCTTTGGGAAGGCATGTAGCCTGACAAAGATGACGTGTGTGACTGAGAAAGCTTGTTTGCGGCCCACCACTGGTCTCAGAGACGAGTTTAAGCACATCGTGCTTGGAGTCAGCCTGTTTGGAGACAAAATAATTGTGCAATCAAGTCACATTCACTGTGATTTGTATGACTGATCTATATATTGCGAACAATGAGATAGACTAGCTAATTAGAAAGGCTGGTAGATAATTTAGAGATGTTGGTTAGTTCTCTTAGCTAAGCACTCTCTCTATAGTCGACACTCAAGAACTATTAAACAAATGTAGGGATATAATAGATATATTTTTAGTATTGGTAACAGGTTTGTTTTTTATATTACCAGGAGGAAGAGATACGTGATGAAATTCCAGAAGACTCTGAACCAGTTCTGGAGTTTAGCCGAAGTGTTAAAGTTGCTTCTACAAAATATAATGGTCCTCCATTTCCACCGGTTGCTTCTGATTTTCAGCGCACTGCTGATAACCTTGCTAAAGTCATTGAGAGACGAGAAACATTGGAAAATAGCTTAATTCAATGGTGAGTTGACAATGGTGTTAGCCCAGCACATAACCACATACCATCAAGGTCCTTTATATGGCACTTACTACACACAAGGCACTTCGTGAGGTCTATTTTAACATATTTTAACTTATTAGTGCTAGTGTGAGCCCCATTTCTAGTTTTTAGAAACCTCTAGGAAGTTATGGAATAAGCCATGTAACTGAATGCTAATACAGTTATCAAAATTAGGTTTAAAATGGCGTATGACAACAATATATCGGTACATAAATAGAGCAGGATACTTCCATTATAAGGTCCCTGTGAGCAGGAGCCAAGTTCACTGCCATCGAGTGGATGCGGACTCCGTTCAATCACGCCTGCAGGACGGGGTAGATCTTCCCTGTGGGTTTCTGAGACGGCAACCCTGTACAGGAACAGAAGGCCTGTCCCTCTCCTGAATAAATAAAAATATATGTGCAGAGATAAAATCTAGGAAGCAAATTGTTAACTGTGTGTCCCTAAATTTTGTATTATGTTATTATCCCCCCCCCCAAAAAAAAAGGTTATATGTATTTTCTGATTTTTTTGCAATGACTATCTATTACTTGTATGATAATAAAACCCCAAAAAAGTATGGTTAAGCACTTGACTGCTCCCTGGAAGGTGAACGGTTCAAACCTACCAGCTTCACCATGAGGGAGCCACATGGCACTCGGCCCTCCTTTCAGATGACAGCCTTGAAAACCCTCGCAGGCAGCCCACTCTCTCCTGTAAGGGTCCCCGGAGCAGGACTGGATGTGGTAGCAGTGGGCTTGGTTTGATCTGACTCTCAAGAAGTGTCGTTAGAAGAAATCTATTGCATCACAACTCAGTCTTACTCAAACTGAAAAAGAAATAGTTTTCTTCCCTTTATAAGAGGAAAACTCCCCCTACTACCTCTGATGATACTTATTTCCTGAATTCGGGTTCTGACCAGGCTTCTTTCTAGCTTTGGTCTTACATGGTTTTCTGTGTGGGCTCACAGAATGGGCAATCAACCATTTTAGGTACCTGCTACATCAATGATCGTTCATCCAGTCTTTATTTTGAATTTAGAGGATCTGTAAAACTTTTAGCTAGACTGATCTGAAAGATTCTAATATGCTTTTATAAGCGTATCTCCCACCTGGAGATTCTGTTCATGTAGTTTATCTTGCTGCCAGATACATGTTACATTTTCTCTATTTCACATGTACATTTTTTGTGTCCCTGGGTAAACCTTAGGAGCCCTGGTGGTATAGTGGTTACGCATTGGGCTTTGATGTGCACCGTCGGCAGTTCAAAACCACCAGTAGCTCCTCTAGAGAGAGACTGGACTTTCTACTCACGTAAGCATTTACAGTCTTGGAAACCCACAGGGGTCACTGTGAGTCAGCATTGTCTCCATGGCAGTGAGTTGGGGTTTTTTGGTGTGGGTAAACCGTATTGTTAAGGTTAGTATGCCCCACAGTTACACATTTCATTCAAATTTTGGACTCGTGAATTTTTGTCTCTCAGGGTAGAACAAGAAATAATGGCAAGAATTATCTCTGGGCGCTTCCCAATCCAGGAACAGGCCGCACCTGATGTCAGTCTTTCCGTCAGTGAGGAAAGTGAGCCATCGGCCTCTGACAATGGTAAGTGAAGGGGGTCTGTTACCTTTTTCTGTGATTCAAAGACAAAGCCTTAGGAGTTTATCGAGTTTAGAGGGCAGTTAAGTCCTGGCATGACAAGAGACATGCTCTTTCCTGTCATTGTCACCGCGCCCTGCTTCTCTGGGATGGAGGTCCTCGCTCACTTCTATTTCATGCTCCCCGTTCCCACCCCGTTCCTACCCCGTTCCTGCGGCACCTTACCATCTACAGATCTTTGTGCGAATAACCATCAGATAGTATTTTGGTGGGTTGACGTATCTGCGTTACTTACTGCACTGTGCAGGCCTCGGGACTGAGGCTCTCTCCCCTTCGGTGCTAACCTTGATGAACACCAGACAGGGGTTCAGGCAGGCAGTGAATGCAGAAAGGAGCCTCTGTGGAGCAGCCCCTTCTGCTGCTCCGCCTCCATCAGTTGGAGGTATGTTTTCATTGTAGTAGCATTCACCAATGTAAAGTACAATTTTTGGTAAGTTTTGACAAGGGCATATTGCTCTATTTCACACAATCATGATACAGGAAAACATTTCCATTATCCCACAGGATATCCCTCTGCCGCTTTATATTCAATGCCTACCATCTTTCCATCACTTTTCAGTGATTCCCTGCAGATGGATCATACATTTTGTAGCCTTTTGTATCTGGCTTCTTATAGTTAGCATTATGCTTTTTTCCCCCAACAATTTTATTGGTACATAATTTACATATCATACAATTCAGTAGTTCAGTCATTCAGTCATAGCAAGGAGAATTATACAATCATCACCACATCGATTTTAGAGCATCCCCCCCAGCCCATGGTTAAATCTCCATGAGTTGTGCAATCACAATCCATTCTAGTACTCCCTCCCCCCAGCATAATGCTTTTTTTTTTGCTACAAAATATTAGAAATTTTTATTGAACAGAAGCATCAAACTGTGAAGCTATTTCTGTTTTGTTTGTTTTTTAGATCATTTTATTGGTGGATCTTACAGCTCTTATAACAATCCATGCATCAATTGTATCAAGCATATTTGCATATATGTTGCCATCATTATTTTAGAAACATTTACTTTCTACTTGAGCCCTCTTTATTAGCTCCTCTTTTTTTCCCTCCATCCCTCCTCCAACCTTTGTGACCCCTTGATAAATTACTGTATATACTCGAGTATAAACCGACCCAAATATTCACCATGGCACCTAATTTTACCACAAAAACTGCATTAAAAATGTGCTGAAAAACTCGCTTATACTCGAGTATATACGGTATAAATTATTATTTACATATCTTTGAAAAATTATTTTATTAGGGGCTCATACAACTCATCACAATCCATACATACATCAATTGTGTAAAGCACTTTTCTACATTCATTGCCCTCATCATTCTCAAAACATTTGCTCTCCACTTAAGCCCCTGATGCCGCATCAGGTCCCCATTTTTCCTTCCTTCCCCCTTCATGAGCCCTTGATAATTTATAAATTATTATTTTGTCATATCTTGCCCTGTCTGATGACTCCCTTCACCCACTTTTCTGTTGTCCGTCCCCTAGGGAAGAGGTCACATGTAGATCCTTGTACTCGGTTCCTCCTTTTCAACCTACTCTCCCTCTCCCCTCCCAGTATCGCCACTCACACCACTGGTCCTGAAGGGATCATCCGCCCTGGATTCCCTGTATTTTCAGTTCCTATCTGTACCAGTTGTAAGGTAGAATTGGGATTATGATAGTTGGGGGGAAGGAGCAGTTAGGAACTAGAGGAAAGTTGTATGTTTCATCAGTGCTACTCTGTACCCT